CTTGTGAGGGTTGGAAATGTAAAGGTAGACATTTTATAGCAAGGAGGGGAGTGATTAACTTTTCAGTCTAGGAGTGGAGGTCCCTGGGACCATCAGTGGAGAAAAGCGGAGTGCGTGACCCTACCCAGAGAAGCAGTGATGCCTGAGATAGAGGCAGAGATGATGATGACGTGGAGAGATGGAGCAGCTGGAGACTTTAGATCCAGAGAGGGAGAGGGGCTGTGTGATGATGACGGGGGGCAGGCTTGTAGTGTATACCCATTGGTCGGTTGATGATGCATGGAGGGGATTGTAACTATACCAATGAAACGATATACGATAGGATATAGGATGAATGTAAAACTAATGTTCTACCATGTAAGCCATCACATTCACAATAAAACATTAAAAAAAAAAAAAGAGCCAATAATACCGAAGGAGAAAGTCCAAGGTGCACTGAAGGAATTGGCAAAGAACAAGAAACCAGGAACTGATGGAATAAAAATTGAAATCATTCAAGAAAATGAGGCGGCACAGGAGGCACTCATTCATCTCTGCCAGGAAATCTGGAAGACAACTATCTGGCGACTGAATGGAAGAGATCCGTATTTGTGCCCATTCCAAAGAGAGGTGACCCAATGGAATTGGGAAATCGTTGGACAATCTCTTTGATATCCCAGTTGAATAAAGTTTTGCTGAAGGTAATACAGAAATAGCTGCAAGAATACATTGACAGAGAACTTCCAGAGGTTCAAGCTGGATTCAGAAGAGGCTGTGGAATGAGGGATATCACTGCTGATGTCAAATGGATCTTGGCTGAAAGCAGAGAATATCAGAAAGATGTCTACCTGTGCTTTATTGACTGTGCAAAGGCTTTCGATTGTGTGGATCATGACAAGCTATGGACAATATTGGGAAGTATGAGTATTCCTGAACACTTAATTGTGCTCATGAGAAATATGTACCTGGACCAGGAGACAGTTGTTAGAACAGAACATGGGAACACTGAATGTTTTAAAATTAAGAAAGGTGTGCAACAAGGCTGTATTCTTTCACCATACTTATTCAACCTGTATGCTGAGCAAATAATCCAAGAAGATGGGTTCTATGAAGAAAAATGTGGCATCAGGATTGGAAGAAAACTCATTAACAACCTGCAATATGCAGATCATACAACCTTGCTTGCTGAAAGTGAAGAGGACTTAAAACATTTACTGATGAAGCTCAAAGAGCACAGCCTTTGGTATGGACTACATCTCCATGTCAAGAAAACAAAAATCCTCACCACTGGACCAATAAATAATACCCTTATCAACGGAGAAAAGATTGAAGTTGTCAAGGACTTCATTCTTCTTGGACCAACTATCAACTCTCATGGAAACAGCAGTCAAGAAATCAAACGACATATTGCATTACGCAAAATCTGTTGCACAAGACCTTTTTAAAGTGTTGAAGAGCAAAGATATCAGCTTGAGGACTAAGGTGTGCCTGACCCAAGCCATGGTATTTTCAATAACCTCATATGCATGCAAAAGCTGGACAGTGAATAAGGAACACCGTAGAAGAATTGATGCTTTTGAGTTATGGTGTTGGAGGAGAATATTGAAAGTGCCATGGGCTGCCAAAAGAACCAATAGATCCGTTTTGGAAGTGCAGCCAGAGTGCTCCTTGGAAGCCAAGGTGGCCAAACTTCATCTCTCATACTTTGGACATATTGTCAGGAGGAACCAGTCACTGGAGAAGGACATCATGTTTGTTAAGGTGGTGGGTCAGAGAAAAAGAGGAAGACCCCCAACAAGATGGACTGGCCAAGTAGCAGCATCCATGAACTCAAGAGTGGCAATAGTAGTGAAAGGTTGGCTCAGGATCAGGCAGTGTTTCGTTCTGCTGTGCGTAAAGTCACTATGAGTCAGTACTGACATATAGATAACAACAACATATAGATAACAAAAACAAAATTAACATTTATTAATATAACACTATCATCTAATTTAAACAACTTGTTTGGACTTTTTCAAATGCCCCAATAATAAGCTGTATAACAAAAGAAAATCCTGGGTCATGAGTTACAGTCATTTATGATGTTCCAACTCTTAGGTACCCTGTAAATGGTTCCCAAGGAGCAGGTAGTGGGTTTGAACTGCCAATCCTTAGGTTAGAAGCTGTGCCACCCAGATCCCTTTTGAAGCATACAGGCCAGTTATGTTGGGTTTGATGTTGTTTCCTCTGGGTCTGCTTTAGGTTATGCATTTTTAGCAGGAGCAGTACAGAAATGAGACTGTGTGTCCCAGAGCATATGACCAGGAGGCCCATGAAATCAGAGTATCTCATTACTGGTGATAATCCGCAGTGCTCTCCACTATACAATTACTGTGCCTCCTTTTAAATATCTTATCTGGAGACATTTTCAAACTACATCAATATGCTGTTTCTTACTCATCTTTTAACCACTAGTTTTATCACTGAATTTTTTTTTTAATTTCTTGTTCTTTAATTAAAGAACTTTCTAAGTAAGTTTATCTAACATATATCTGAACACATAGATGCTACAGCATGCAACTACTTGCTCCCAACTTTTTGGGCACAGTTAAGATCACAGGAACACACTCATACCAACCACTAGGTCAAGCCCATGAAAAGAAACCCACAAATAAACAGGAAACCAAACGTTTTTCATATAAAACTGGTAGTGTAGTGATGAGGGTGTTTTTGCTGGCAGTAGAAAGATGTACAGCATTCTTTGTCTTCAGTGATTACGAAGTAATGATGACGCTTACTTTCTAAAAAATCCCTATATTCAGATTTAAACACTTGCTTGGGAAAATAAGATACTGCCTAGCAGCAATAATATAAACACCACACCTTCAGCATTTTTTTAAAAGTTATAATAGTTTAAAATATTTCAAATGCTGTAATTTTCTGTACAGACCTCTCCCAGCAAAGAGAATTGGTAGGTGATTTTTTTTTATTTCCCCTGCCCCTAGACTGTTCAGCCCCTCCATTTGAAACTTCTTTCTCCTCCCCTACTCAAGACCTAGATTCCTATTTTACTAGATTTCACCACATTGCATTTCAGTTGAAAGCAATGTGGTGAAATCTAGTAAAAGGGTAGCAGGATGAATGGGCACTACTCTACTCATAAATTCTTTCAATAAAACTGTCCTTACCTGCTGTGGAAAACAGGTGCGGACTGAGTGTTCTGTGTAACCAAAAGATGGCCCTTCAAAGACAGCTGTTGGGAGCTTCAGAACTTCCTTCAGAAACTGGTCAAACTTGCTAAATATCATTAAGCCATTGGAATCTGACATCTGGGAGAAAACATCTATGAGAACAAAACCAAAAGGTCAAATGACAAAGAAACACCAGTTTTTAAATTAATGGCTATATGTTATTTGCTATACCATTTAAATATATCATAAAGGTATTATGATTCTTAGTCCATATTAGAATGAATCTCACTCTAATCAACACTGCTGTTCATATATCTAATCAGGAGCTCAAAAACAATATGGCAAAGAAATGTGCCCTAAGCTTTTTTCACAAAATTGAGCTTCCTGACAAACACATTAGTGAGTCAAATATATACAACAGACAAATCATTATGTTCACTTTGCTGATGAGTGTTCTCCTTACCACTCACTATTATTCCACCTAAACGTCAAACCAAATAACCTTTCATTTACATTTAGTACTCTTTTTGAGCGTGCATCAGTAGAGGATATAAAGATTTTTCATTTTATTTATATATAACCTCATTTTGTTGCAAGAAATTTGCAGAATCACACCCTTGTTTATATCTCAGCATCAGAAGATGTGTTTATATAAGACATATGCATGTTTGACAACATGAAAAGAATGGCAGATTGGCAATGGAGGTATGAAAGAAATGGTATTACATTTGTATATTCATATACTAATTATGTGCTGCATACCTGTGAAAGAATAAATGTGAAGAGAACATAGAGTATGTTTAAAATATTCCATTCAGCAAGTTTCAAAGTAAAATAAAAGAATTCATTCATATAAATGCTTATATTCCAAAGTACTTTGAAACTTGTTAAGTGCCATTGTGTCAGGAAGACCCTATTTTTACATCAAGTCTGGCCCAATCAGCAAGGAAAACAATTTCCAGTGCTATAATTATTTTTTATCTTCTTGGAAAGAGAGTTTCTCATATCGTCAGTTATTCTGCTCTCATCCACAGTTGAGGAAGAAAGGAAAAATAGCTAGAAGCCCAAGAACAATTTGGAGAAGATGTGTACCTGAAGCTTTATTAAACAACTGATCTTTCTGACATCTACAAAGAGAAATCAATAATTTCCTGAGGCCTTGCCAAACACACCATTTTGAAAAGTCATACTCTATATATTCTTAGTTAACAGATAATACTAAAAACCTATGAGTACTAGATGTATGTAATTGGAACACATATGCATTAATCTTTAGGTTAACTTTGGGGAATCTATCCTGAAGCATTAGATATAGAAAAACATTTTTTTTTTTAATGTACTAATCAAAGGCTCTTGGTGTAGTGCCGTAGGACCAGCACTACATTGCAAACATTAAAAAAGCAAGAAAATGCCGAAGCGGGGGAGAGGAGAATCCTCAATATATCGTCTGACAAAAGCTGCTACTTCATAGTTGAAGGAAGAGTAATAAATACCCGTGTAGGGGGGAAAAATCCAGTAAGAGCCTAATGGAAAGTAAAATCAATTAATTAACAAATACACATGAAGTTCCTACTATTGATCCAGGCGCCAAGGACTCTACTAGGTGTTCTGCAGCACTACAAAAATATGATATATAGTCCTTAGTTATATAACTAGAAAAAGAAGATACATATGAAGCAAAGAATTAAGAGCTAAGCTGACTCAAAATACAACAGAAAGAATAGAGGCCTAATGAGCATTTGTTAAGTTATACCATGGATGGGAGTTCAAGCCCACCAGTTGTTCCATAGGAGAAAGATAAGGCTTTTTTTTTTCTGCTCCTGCAAAGATTTACAGCTTTAGAAACCATATACAAGGTCACTAATAGTCAGAACCACTCAATGGCACTTAACAACAACCATGTAACAGGAACCATGATAGGTAACTATAACTGAGTCTGCTGATAGTCACTCAGTATTTGTTATCTTCTTTTTCCTTAGCAACAAAGTATTGACTTTATTTGGTGCACCATAAAACCCAACTAAGAGAGTATACTTTCCAGTCTCCCTTTAGCAAGGTGGAGCCATGCGACTATGTTCTGGACAGCCAGATTATTAGCAGATCCTGAGAACAGAAGAACTAGATGGTGCCAGGCTACCATTACCAACTGTTCTGAAAGGGATCACATTAGAAGGTGTAGGATAGAATGGGAGAAAATGTGAAATAAAACTCAAAAGTGAAGGAAAAAAAAAAGACTGGGCTTACTAGTCAGAAAGAGACTACAGGAACATGAGACTTTGACCCTCAGTCACACTTCAAGTCTGGAACTAAACTCACCCTTATGGTTCAATTTTAGCCAAGTACTAGATTAGGTATATAGGAGGGGCAACAACACTAGTAAGGTATGATCACTATGGAATGATCAATTATTCAAGAGATGAAAAGGGCAGCACTGACCTAAGGACAACTTTGAGAAGGGATGGAAAGGAAGGTGGAATGGGAATAAGAATCACAGACAGGGAAGAAGGAAGTGCGGTAACTGTTGTTATATGGTAGATACTGCAATCATTGAGGTGAAACAAAGTATATGAGCTGCTGAATATAAAATGATTAGATAATCTACTCTGTAAACTTTCAAAATAAAATGTTAAGGAAAAAAAGAGAAGAGTCTTAGCAGAAAAACTATTAGAGACTTCTAGGAAAAGTAGTTACAGAAAGTTGACAAAACTGAAGAACAGGCCCTTTTACCTTACTCTATTTCTCCTTTTGTTGCCTGAAATACAATTATGATAGCTGGAGCTCTAGCAGTCACTTTAGACCATGTGGTCATCATGAGGTAGAAGGCATACATTAGAGTGGTAAAAGAGAAGAATTAAAGAAAGTACTAAAAGTTCCAGACTACCACTTCTAGACAAGGGCTTTGAATCCATTCAAACCAGTTCAGCCATGGCTGACAAAGTAAAATCAAAACAGACCTGAATTTTTTAAGTTTGGGTGAGGCAGAACAATAATTGGAACAAGAAAAATTATGAGTCACAGTGCTGGAATAGGAGACATGGAGAAGTCCAGAGATGTGAGCCCTTTTAGGAGCCTGATGTGGGAGACCAGATTACAGCGACTCCTCACTTGATCAACTATCTCAATGCTAATATTTTACATTTACAACAATAGCAAAAAATATGCTATTTTGTACATTAATGACAAACACCTGGTGGAGAACAAACAAGATGGCAGATCGGGTGGACGTATAGCAGAGAGCTCCACCAACACAGAATACCCGACCAAGCAGGTTCAGGGGATGGTCCCAGAATTCTGAATCACATATAAAGGAATACTTAGAAG